AGAGTGTCCAAAAAAAAATTGCAGGAGCCTGTGTTCTCATTTGATCTAGTCTAAAAGAACACTAGAAATACAAACATAGGACATATGTTCCGAAATCCAATCGATCTGGTTTCTATACTCAGGTATCTTAGTATAGCAGTTTAGAGGCGGTTCATCTGCCGCTGGTTTGTATTTGAAGGACACCACCCCATACGCCTTTCCATCCTCACAGACCAATGGACCACCAGAGTCTCCCTGGAAGTACATACACAGTTTGCAGTGACAATTAAATCACAGTTATTGAGGCAAAGTGGGTTTGTACATGTTATGTTTCATAAATATGCATACCTTCCCCGGCCCAGCGTCTCCATCAGAGCAGTACCACTCATTCTGGGCACACAGCTCATTGTCAGTGAGTGTTACATTGACTTCCATGAGTACTGGAGACATATAGTCACTGCTGTCTCTTTTTCCCCAGCCAGAGACTATACATGATTTAGGCAGAGAGCCATCATCTTGTACTGCGAGAGCAATGGGTTGCACATTTTTGTTGAAATGTGCCTTGGAATTCAACTTGAGGAACAGGGAGAGATAAAAAAAAAAAAAAAAAAAAAAAAAAAAAATACAGATATGAAGCTGAAATATCAATTCACATTTCTCCAGTGTTCACATTTGCCTTTTGTCAACTTATTGTTCAGTGACATGCATGCATCTAGTATTTCAGGCTTCCTTTTGATCAATGCATTCAACAAAGCATTTGCAAAAACACTAAAACAAATTTTTACTATTAACAACAAGGATTTTCTTACCATAAGAAGCATCATGTCATTTTTGTGATTAATAGGATCGTAGTCTTTATGTGGAAATGCTTTTTCCGCAGATATACGCTGTACTTTTTTATTGTCTCGGAAGTTGTGAACTCCTAGAGAGACTGTGTAGGACCTGACAAAATTTAAGGTAAAAAAGTTATATGGGAGTAAATAAATTAGTTACTTGGTCAGTGCATAATAGTACCAAAAGATACAAATATTTAGAAATTTTATTTTTTGTCATAGTTTACAAAGCTGTCATGAAATATATCTGCCAATCTCAATACA